ACCAGTCACTGGATGAATCCAAAGTCAGCTGTGTGGTAGCACTGGACATTGCTGGCGCTTTCGACCGGGTGTGGCACCAGGGCCTCTTAGCAAAACTTCAAGCACTGGGAATTGCAGGCTCTACGCTATGTCTCCTCAGTGATTACCTTCATGGTAGATCTCTAAGTGTAGTCCTCAATGGAACGGAATCAGCAAGACATCCTATTGGGGCAAGCGTTCCACAAGGAAGTGTGCTGGGTCCACTGTTATGGAATGTCTACTTCAACGACCTTCTTCATCTCATCCCAGAATCACATGCATATGCAGACGACTGTACACTGACATTCACTTATCCAAGAGAAGAAATGCCAGCTGCTCTAAGCTACATCAAATCACCAGCTGAGAGCTATATCAGCTTGGGGAAATAGATGGCAAGTAACATTTGCACCTGAGAAAACGCAATGATGATCGTCTCTAGGCACCATGATGGTAATGCATGGTGCAGTAGTAAGGATGAATGGGAGGATGTTGGCACCTGGAGAAGAAGTTGATATCCTTGGTGGTGAAATTTGACTCCAAACTAACCATGAAGAACCATGTTGTAAATCTTGCAAACAAGGCAGCCAGGAAGCTTACAGCACTTCGCCGTATCTCGCATCTGCTTGACAGTAGGGGTTGCAAGATACTGTACGAGGCACAAGTACGCTCACACCTTGAGTATGCTCCACTTTCTTGGTTTGCCTGTCCCCCCTCTCATCTGCGACTGCTTGACAGAGTAGAGAACAGAGCAGACGTCTCATCTCTCGCCTGGACCCATCCTGGATGGATCTGTCATTTCAGCAGAGCCTTCAACATAGGAGGGATGTGGGTGGCCTTACTGTTATGTACAAGGCCAATATTGTCAAAATACCACACTTGGATCCACTCGAGGACAGCGCGAAACAAGCTTTTATGCCACAAGACGGGCAGAAAGCAGCAACTTCACTCTGGCTGTACCCTTCTCCAGAACATCACTCCATTTGAGATCATACATACCCAGGATGACTCGAGTATGGAACACATTCGTTCAGCATAATGATGTCAACGAGATAACGTCAGTTGATCAAATGAAAATGCTGGCCCACAGATGGCTCCAACTTCATCCTGTTCCCTACTTGTATGTCTCATAACAATAAAAATGCTTTCAAATGAGCTGATGTAGGTAACAGCTCTTAGCTTGTCAATAAAGTTAGGAATCCTTAACCTGTAAATAGCTTGTCAATAAAGCTAGGGATCCTTAACCTTGTCAAACCATGTGTAAAAAAAAAAAAAAAAAAAAAAAAAAAAAAAAAAAAAAAAAAAAAGACAAGAGAGACGGGAGAGAGAGAGAGACAGAGAGAGAGAGAGGACAGAGAGAGAGAGAGAGGGAGAGAGACAGAGAGAGACAGAGAGAGAGAGACAGAGAGCGAGAGAGAGAGAGAGAGAGAGAGAGAGAGAGGGGAGGAGAGAGAGAGAGAGAGAGAGAGAGAGAAGAGGAGAGAGAGAGAGAGAGAGACAGAGAGAGACAGAGGAGAGACAGAGAGAGACAGAGACAGAGAAGAGGAGAGAGAGAGAGAGAAGAGAGACAGAGAGAGACAGAGAGAGACAGGAGACAGAGAGAGACAGAGAGGAGACAGAGAGAGACAGAGAGAGAGAGAGAGAGAGAGAGAGAGAGGAGAGAGGAGAGAGGAGAGAGAGAGAGCGAGAGAGAGAGAAAAGGCTTTCAAATGAGCTGATGTAGGTAACCCCTTTTACCTAGTCAATAAAGTTAGGAATCCTTAACCTAACCTTGTCAAACCCTGTGTAAAGAGAGAGAGAGAGAGAGAGAGAGAAAAGAGAGAGAGAGAGAGAGAGAGAGAGAGAGAGAGAGAGAGAGAGAGAGAGACGTAAGATACATAATCGACATCAAATACAGAGAGAGAGAGAGAGAGAGAGAGAGTTCAGAATATTTTCCTTGTCAAAAGACAAAAATCACATCTATTACCAACGATTTCGCAATTTTTCCCAAAGTTCAGCCAAAACTTAGAAACTTGTCTGACTAGTCGAGTAAGGTCCTGACTTTTGAAAGATCTATCACGATAATGCCTCCCGATGACTTCCTGCCTTCCTTACATGTTCATGAAGTCTGGTAAATGCAACTGAAGCACTTAAACATTTTAAATTTTCTTAAACTGGAAATTTCGGTATTTATGATGTGGTTATGTAATCTGAAGGACCAAGAATTGGTCACATTTGCTCACTATCTTGCTTTATCATTGGAGTGTGAGCGAGGTAACATTTATGAAGGGATTTACGGAAACCGGTTAGCCGGACTTGAGTCCTGGAGGTGGTAAGTGGAGTGCCTGCAGTCTGAAAGTGGGGTGGATATATGTTGCAGTTTTCTCCAACCTCAGTGGAAAACGGCCGATGTGTTTAAAATAAAAACCGATACAATAAGGAGGGTAGAATGGCTCTGTGTGCAAGAGAAAAAATGTGAAGGCTGAAGGAATAGACAATGAATCTATCAGGTGGCTATTTCACGAACTTGAAAAAAGCCCACTGTGTGGGCGAAACGTTGTCAATAAAGGATCACATTATACTGCATATGTGTTTATATTTCCATTGTGTCGGTATTTTATACCATTTATTTCCACCGTTCTCTTAGTGAGTTGGATATGTTAAGTACCTGCCAAATATGGGCCAATAGGCCTATTGCAGTGTTCATCCTTTCCTATGTTCTTACGTCCTTGAAGTTGTTTTTTTTCAAATACTAACGTAGAGATCTGCCATTTGGATGTTTCTGAAAATATTATGCAAACTGCCACACACAGCATACATCCAGACACAGAAATTACAGAAAGTGAAATTGAACCATAACAAAAGAACAGAAGAAAAACACATTGTTTTGGGGAGAGAAGAGAGATTTATTGGCGCATTACGGCTCACCTTCCGGGCCAAAATGTTCATATTAAAAAGAGAGATAAGAAAAGTTAAACGAAACTATGAAATGAAAGTTGCCAGGAAGTCCAAAAAAAGTCGAAAACTTTCGTACAGGTGTATAGAACGAAGACTAGGAAAAAAGTTACGTCTACTTAAAACTTTGTCCAGCTTAACGATGATGAAATTTGCTGAATTTTGATCAATTATTTCTGCTAATCTTCACACAGGAAAACACAAATAACATCCCAGGAACTGTTAATTTTAGAGGACGTCAGAACTACGAATCACTTAACATGACAGTAGACAGAGAAAATGTCATTAATCGAGTAGATCAATTGCAGAAAAATAAACAGATGCAAAATAATATAATACAGTGGACCCCCGCATAACGATTACCTCCGAATGTGACCAATTATGTAAGTGTATTTATGTAAGTGCGTTTGTATGTGTATGTTTGGGGGTCTGAAATGGACTAATCTACTTCACAATATTTCTTATGGGAACAAATTCGGTCAGTACTGGCACCTGAACATACTTCTGGAGTGAAAAAATATCGTTAACTGGGGGTCCACTGTACTTTGACAACGTTTCACCCACACAGTTGGCTATATCTGTGACTTGATAAAGCCCACTGTGTGGGTGAAACGTTGCCAATAAAGGATCATACCATTTATCTCCGGACCAACTGAAGTAGAGGACCCAAGATCCCTGTAAACATCTTCCACGGGTCTTAACAAGTTGCTAACTTGTCTATTCAATAAATCCCCACAAGCTTGGTCTCAGACCGAGCCGCGGGGGCGTTGACCCCCAAAACCTTCTCCAGGTATACTCCAGGTAAGCGGCTACCGTATCTTATATGTGGAAGATGGATAATGTGACTTCCCTCTAGAAAATGGGAGGTAAGTCCCTACCCTAGAATTACTACCTGATCAGACCTCAATAAAAGGATAATTATTATGATTAATAATATTGGATATTCTTGGAAGTCAAACTCATGAGCTAATTTTAACGAGTCTCAATAGAGATTCACAAGGGTCGTTCTTGAATAATAATAATAATAATAATAATAATAATAATAATAATAATAATAATAATAATAAATATTAAAATATTATAACATTAAAATAATTAAAAATTAAAATAATTAAAATAATTAAAATAATAATAATAATAATAATTAGCAGTTGGACAGTCTGTTCAATATTTTTTTTCAAGTGAGTACACTGGCCCCACAAGGGAGGTACTTTGATGTTGAAGGGCTCCTGATTCAAGAAATCTGATTTATTCTTTCCTTCCTTAAATCAGACCTAATTGTTTCACATCATAAGAAAGAACATAGGAAAGAAGGAACACTGCAGCAGGCCTACTGGCCCATGCGAGGCAATTTGGAGTGTACAAATTAGAAGATTGTGTTAGGTTACTAAGGGTATAATTCTGAGGGATGAGGAAGAGAGTGTTGGAGTGGTTTGGTTGTAGCAGAATATGATGACCACGAGGGTGAATAAATCTGGGGTGGAAGGAAGGAAGGGGTAAGGGTCGTCAGAGGAAGGATTTGAGGTAGGTGGTAAATTAGATTTTGAATGCTAAGTACTTGAGCATCTAGCAGAATTTTGTGAGCATGGTGGATCAAAGTGGAGACGAGTGGTTTTTACGGTTTCACGTGCTGTTGGAGTGTGAGCAAGGTAATATTTATGAAGCATTTCAGGGAAACCGGTAACTAGACTCGAGTCGTGGAGGTCGGAAGAACAGTGTCATCACTGTGAAGGACGGGTGGAATGTGGCAATTTGAAGTGTCTCTTGAATGTGTCTTCTCACTTTTGGCAAGAGAGCTACTGAATGAAAGGATGGTGAATGTTTTATTTTGGTAACCTTACCTTGGCAATAGCCAACGGTATTCTTAAAATAATTACATCGTGGCATCCAATCCATTAAATAATTTCTGCAAATGAAAAAAATACTTCCAGTGCTGTTTTACACAATTTACACAAAGTGAGTAGACACATTTACACAGGACACCTGTCAAACACCCGAGTGAGACATTTTCCTGACGAACAATACACTACAGAGTATCTGTCTCTCCCCAGGTGTCGTGGATTCGGGGTCGAGACCTGCGCATCCTGACGGTGGGTCGGTACACCTACACGACGGACCTGCGCTACGAGTCCCTACACCAGGAAGGCACGAACCAGTGGACCTTGAGGATTAAGTCTACCCAACCCAGGGATCAGGGCACGTATGAGTGTCAGATAAGCACCAAACCAATCAAGGCCTTCACTATATATCTCAGGGTTCTAGGTGAGTGCTAGAGAGAGAGAGAAAGAGAGAGAGAGAGAGAGAGACAGAGAGAGAGAGAGAGAGAGAGAGAGAGAGAGAGAGACAGGAGGAGAGAGAGAGAGAGAGAGAGAGAGAGAGAGAGAGAGAGAGAGAGAGAGAGAGAGAGAGAGAGAGAGAGAGAGAGAGATAGAAATATAGAGAAATAAAGATAAATAGAGGGAGAAAGCCAGAGTGATATGCTGAGTGAAGGGCAAACAGACAGAAAGAGACAGGCTAGTATAAACAAACAGGTAGGCAGAGACAATTGTACAAACACAAGCAGACAGACAGAATCCTACGTACAAAGACAGACAAGCAAACAGCTACATCTGCCTACTTCTCTCTGTTATGAGACACAGAAAGAGATAAAGACGGAAACAGACCGAAACAAAGACTTCCCTTCTCCTGGATCAAACCAAAATGCCTACCATTTCCCCAGACGCTATATGACCATTGCGCGTTTAGCGCTAAAATCCTAATTAAACTCAAAACTCCTTTTAATCTCCACCAGAGCCCAGAGGTGAGATCCTGGGCTCACCAGACCTGTACGTACAGAAGGGCAGTATGATCAACTTAACCTGCATCCTGTACGACCTGCCTGAGCCTCCAGCCTACGTCCTCTGGTACCACGAAAATAAGGTGAGACCCGAGGGGTGTACATCCGCTAGAAATTTTTGACCTAAGAAAAGCGTTTGACACAGTAGACCACGGCATCCTACTCCACAAACTTGATCATTACGGTATAAGAGGTCATGCGATTGCATATTTCAAATCCTACCTTATTAATAGGTATCAGTATGTCACCATTAAAGACACAGCCTCATCAACACGGCCACTTGATACTGGAGTTCCGCAGGGAAGTGTCCTTGGTCCCCTGCTCTTCCTCATTTACATTAATGATCTTCCAAACGTATCCCAACACCTGAAACCCATTCTCTTTGCTGACGGCACGATTTACGTCATCTCCCACCCTAATCTTGCCACCCTCAACACCATTGTCAACGAGGAGCTGCTCAAAATTCTGACTTGGATGACAGCCAATAAACTTACACTTAACACTGACAAAACCTACTACATTATGTTTGGTAGCAGAGCAGGTGTTGCGCAACTTAACATTAAGATCGACAACACTCTAATTGCCAGACATAATGAGGGCAAATTCCTAGGTCTATACCTCTACAACAACCTAAATTTCAGCACCCATATCCAACACATAACAAAAGAAGTATCCAAAACGGTGGGGATCCTCTCCAAGATACGATATTACGTGCCGCAAACTGCCCTTCTCACACTATACCATTCACTCATTTATCCATACCTCACCTATGTTATTTGTGCTTGGGGATCAACTGCAGCAACACATCTAAAGCCAATAACAACCCAACAAAAAGCCGCAGTAAGAATAATCACTAAATCCCATCCCTAGCAACCCCCCCCCCACTCTTCATAGATCTAAACTTACTTCCTGTTCAGAACATCCACACTTACTACTGTGCAATCTACATCTACAGGACCTTAAATTCCAATATTAACCTTGACCTAAAACGCTTTCTTGATAGTTGTGACAGAACCCACAGGCATAACGCCAGACACAAACATCTCTATGACATTCCCCGTGTCCGACTAAACCTTTACAAAAATTCAATGTGTGTCAAAGGGCCTAAAATCTGGAACACCCTACCTGAAAACTCTAGAACTGCAGACACATTCATCACTTTCAAAACTATAGTTAGAAAACATCTTATCTCCTGATACACCCCGTCAACTAACTACATGTAAAACACCTGGTGGTTTACACTTACACTCACTCACCCATTGACTATAAACACAGAAATACGAATTTTAATCTTAAAATAATGAATCCTAACTAGTCATAAGTTTGCCTATGATACTCCAATATAGACACTATGTATTGTGCCAAAACAAAAGCATTCACATTGCTAAACTCACAAACTATAATGTAGTCACTTAGCCTTAATACCATAATCTGCAATAATTTAAAGTTTAGAATTAATCTAAGTCTGACCGAAATGCCTAGCCATGCTAGGTGTCCTAGTGGCCCCCTCTGTAATTAGTATTTTAAAACATGTAAACCACACAATATCCAAAATCTGTAAACCCCGCATTGTAATCCTTATAGAGAATAAACTTGATTGATATGCCGAGCCTGGCCTAAAACACGACCACCGGGGAGGGGAGGGAAGGAGAAGTGAGAAGAAGTGGGAAGGAGAAGTGGGAAGGAGGAGTGGGAAGGAGGCGGGAAGGGGAGTTGGGATAGGGAGGGAGGGGGAGTGGGGAGAGAGAAGAAGAGGGGAGGGAGGAAAGGAGGGGGAGGGAGGGAGGGAGGTGGGGAGTGGGGAGTAAGAGGAGAAGAGGGGAGATAGGGATGAAAGTGGAGGGGCAGTGACCGAAATCTCCCCCCCCCTTCCTCCCCGAAATCATCATCAGGTAACTACAGCAGCCAAAGTAGAGCGACCTAAAAAAAGAAACACGTTCACCATCACTCAGTTGGTGTCTTGCTCTTAATTACGAGGACAGCACAATACACATCACCCTAAAAAACAGTATTGTATTATATAATAATATGCAAATAACCCGCACATAAGTTTTAATCTCCTATGACGACATTTCGGTCTGACTTGGACCATTAACTAATTAATGGTCCGAGTCGAACCGAAACGTCGTTACTTTGTCTCATACGCGCGGGTTATTTGTATATGTATAATATACATTTATATTTGTGAAACGGTATATTATTGATAGTATCACATTTAAGAATAAGTCAGCCAGAGATGAGCTCATTTCTAACGGAAGAAATATTTTTTTTAATATTTACATCTTTCAAAGATATACTTTGATGCTTGTAAGGGGCATCAAACTAGGTATATTTCTACACCATAGGAAGGTTAGCATAGGCACCACATACACACATTAATAGAATTCTTCCTCCATAAACCATGCGTGTCGTAAGTGGCCAATAAAATGCCGGGAGCAAGGCGTTAGTAACCTCCTCTTCTGTATACATTACTAAAGTTAAAAAGAAAAACTTTTTCTTTTTGGGTCACCCTGCCTCAGTGGGATACGGCCGGTTCGTTTACAAAAAATGTATGCAATAGCAATCCGGTCTTCTCCCACCAAGGGAGGGTAACTCGACAAAGAAGAGCACTTTTACCGTCTCTTTCTCAGTCACGTTAATGCCAGACTCGCATTAATATTACAGTTTAGATGATCTTCCAAATCGCAATATTCCCACCCCTTCTTCAGAGTGCAGGCACCTTAATTTTCACATCCATTTTTCCAGAAGCCTTTCACAAATGTTGCTTTGCTTCCAGGCCACAGCACGTTAAATCATAAAACCATTCGCCTCCATTTCTAACACTCTTACACAAGCTTGTTGAATATCCAATCCCCTAGCACTCAAAACCATCTTTAACTTCCTCTCTTCAAACTTTCCCGTGATGACTTCTAAATATCATTCACTCAGCCTGGGTTCGTACTCCAATCTTTCTCCACCCTCTTAAAATGCCCAAACCTCACCAACTCCTCCTTAGCCCTCTGAATAATAGTTTTTACTCTACACCTGCTTTTAATCGAATCGAATCGAATCGAAGACGAGAGAGCTGTCCTAAGATGGGAAGGAAGAAGGATAAGGAAGGATGGAAATAACTGGAAAAGGATGGGAAGAAGGGGAAGAGGAAGAATCAAGGTAAGTGGCCCAACCACTTTGGGACATGTGGTACCGAAGTACTGGAGGCGTAGATGGAGATGTATTTCAGAAACACTAACGAAGACGATGTAGAAGGCAACAGGAACTCAGCAGGTGCTGGCTGCATCTTGCTGGAATGGATGATTACTGTAACTTGAATGATGATAGGCGGCTGCAGGCGACAAGGAAGGAGCTCATCGTTGATTGGTCAGTTCATAGAGGTTTGGTGTTTACCTGGAGTCATAGCGTTGTTTTACGATTCAGTTCCGTTTTCAAGACGTTTAAAACGTTGTAAAGGGAGCAAATTTATACGTGTCAGCAAGTGTTTTTGGCTGGAATCTTCTAGTTGGTCTACAATGGCCTTTAGAATAGTAGAAAGTTCAATTGTACGAAGAGTTCCTAGCTGAGCAGGAAGAATCGATGGTAAACTTGACTTTCTTTTCGATGAGGTGAGAATAAAGTTCAGGAAGCAGCATGTCTTGATGATATTTTTCTGTAGTGTAGAAGTTGATTCCATTCCATGAAGTATATTTTTTATCTTCATCGTTATCATGTCGAGAGTTGGTTTTAATCTTAATACTCCGAATTTTCTGCATAATATTCACACTACGCATTGCCTTCATGCACACATCTACTCTGTCTCCTGTATTCTCACTGCACCTTCCTGAACCCATGCTTTACTCCCATATGAAAGTGTTTGCACCACTTTGGTACATTACCATTTTGCCCTCATGGATAAAATACTATCTCCACAGATGCCTCAGTGCGCTACCCACATTTTTTCCTTAGTTCTATGGTTGACCTTATCTCTCACTCAACTATCTGCCAACAAGTCCACTCCAACTTGCCTCAATAAATCCTTTATATTTCTACCCTTCAATCTGATATTCAATCTCTCATTACCTATATTATTATGATAGTCATATTACCTTGCCCTTCCCATATTCACTTTTATCTCTCAATATATTAAAGACAATTTTTTTTATTTCACTCACTGTTTCCCTAGCTTTAAGTATTACCAATGTAATGATATATACACAACATACAAATATACTGCAGTAACAAGAAAGAGTTAGTATTAAATATAAACATTTATACAGAAGGCTGGAATCCTGGAAGGCTGGAAGCCTCCCTAGAGGGAGTATAGTCAGGTACTGTGAAACCATGTTTCTTTATGTAAAGGGATGCTCCTTTTACCATCCCTGTTCCAGAGATAGGAGCTCTTGGCAGAAACCTAGCTTTTACAGAGCCCCAACTAAAAGGGAACTAAGAAAATTTTAAGTCATGAATGGCTTCTTCAGTCCAACAGAGATAGCCATGGGCGAGGTCTGTATAGTGGCTGAAGTGAGTTGCAACCAGGAGAAACCTTTATAGTTGCGAGGTCGGAGAAAGAGATGCGGCTGGCATGTGTAAATAGGCCTTCTGCAGTCCCCCCGAAATTTCAACGTTTAAGTGATCGACGTATCCTTCTGTGAAGAATTAATTTGGCTCTGACTTCCAGAATAATAAATTTGCAAGTGTTTTGGGCAACAGTGTTGGTGGTTGTATTGAAAATATTTCTAGACATCGTGTACTGGTTAGTTGTTCTTCCCTGATGACAAGTTTAGTCGCCGAGTACTCTTACTGGTGCTCGAAAATAGACTGTTCTGGTGATCTACGATGGATCTTCCTGATGCACTAAGACCGACTGTTCTGATGATCTAAGGTGGATCTTTCTGATCTTCTGAGATCGACTGTCCTGCTGACCTAAGATGGATTCTCCTGATGCCCTTAGGTAGGCATGTAGCTCTAACTGTGGCGGCAGAAGCAAAACTTCGAAGAGCGGCGAGGAGTTCGATTTGTGAGGGACATTTATGATTTCAGCATCCTGAGTTGGTGAGTTTAACTTATCTGCCATGAGGAAAACCTTCCATAACCTACCATGATATCAACA